CACACACACACAGATGTGTGTGTGTGTGTGTCTCTGTCTGCAAAAGTGTGTGTGTGTGTGTGTGTTTGTGCGTGTGCGTGTGCGTGTGCGTGTGCGTGTGCGTGTGCGTGTGCGTGTGCGTGCGTGCGTGTGTGCGCGTGCGCGCCCGTGCTGTGTGTTTCAGTGGGCCTCGCTCGTTCATCTCACTCCACTTGTTTCCCACAGTGACAGTCGCTGTACTGTATAGCGGTCAACTCATGGTTCGATCACCTCGCTCGATCGCATCATTCCAACTTGGTCGCCTTTCACTTCATCGTCTTAGTCGATCGCCTCGCCCCATCACCTCACTGGATCCCCTCACTCGAGCATCTCATTCCATGCACTCAGGCGATCAGCTCACTCGATCGCCTCACTCGCTCACCTCGCTCGAACGGTACGGAGATTTCGAATTTTCGAAAATTAGGAAGACCTCACTCGAGCTTGGAACGGACCCAGTACAACGTGATATCCTCAGTCACCACGCCGAAGCGATCGTGACCCGGGTTGCCTCGCTCTTTGCCCTGTCCGGGCTCGATTTGCGCCGGGTGCAGCTTCCGAGTCGATCTTTTGGTGGGATTGAAAGGTATGACCTTTCTGGATCGCCCTCAGTCCATCACCTGACCTCGCCCCACTGAACCACCTCACACGATTCGATTACTTCATGGCGTGCCAAAAAGTCACCTGGACCTTTCCTTACATGACTTCTTGCTCTACAGGCGCCTTCCCAACAATGTTCTCACAATGACAGGGCTTGTTTTCAACCAGTGCTTACTATCGTCCCATCGTCGCCGTGAGGCAAGCCTAGCATGCACCGCGGCCACTTTGGTCAAGCTACAGTTGAGCTCCTCGTGCGCACTAGGCTACACCACCCTGGTGGAGGCTGGATACAGGTATCACTGGGTATCACCGTACAATCCTGTACAGTGTTGTGCAGATTGCATGCTGAAAGCAGGCCTTGGCTCCTGCACCTGTCCGCGCAGTTCCTTCATCGCCAGCACACCAATTGTTCATTCTGGGACCTTCAACGGACACATTCATTTACTGTCTGCAATAGCTCAGCTTCCCCTACGGAGACCTGGCATGGCTGGTACATTGAGCGCACCGACAGGCTGTTGCTGCCCAGCCTGTGCATTCGACTGCTCAAGCATTGGCGAGACCGGCGGGCATCCGGCGGCCTGGCCTGTGGGTTTCTCTCCGCTGTGCGAGGTGTCAGCATCTCCAGCGCTGTCTTGTCGCTCTGTGGCAGGGCCTTCAGTTCGGGCAGTGTCCGGGCATGAGCATGTCAAAGGATGTCAGAGGTCCAATATTAGCTGCGGAGCTCCGACGACTCCGCGCAAGTTGAAGCGGCTCGCCGGGGCCTCGCAAGAACTCTGTCACGAGTTCGAGGCATGCGCCATAGGAGGCAGAAGCACTTGGCAAGTCTTGGCAATGCCAACTGAGATCGTATGCAACCAGCTAAATCCACATCTCTGAGGATCACGCGGAGGTAGTAAGCAAGTCTCCGGTTTCTGCAAAGGGGGAACGCCTGGACTTTCTTGACTCTCCAGGCACTGTTGCACTGCAACAAGGGCGGGCGGCTCCTTCAAAAGCTCGGCCAACCAACCGCACCCGTTCCCGAGACTCCGGCGGCAACTGGCCAAGCGGCACTTTCACTGATGAGCAACCCCCCGACTGAGGCTTGCAGCCTGAAGCAGACACGTTTGGTTACACTGGGTGACCGTGGCAGCATCGGGACCACACTGTCTGCAGACGCGATTGGCTGTGTGCGCCTAAGCCCTAATTACATGCTCGGAGGGTACTGCCCGCTGCCAAATACAGGACGAGTTGCCTACCTTTGCGGTCTGTGGTTGCGACCCCAGGGTTGATTGGTGCGCTGCCTTCTTCAGGCACTTCGGACAATTGTCTCAGCCCCTGGCGATGCACAGCACGAACCGCAGGTGCGGATCAACAGCATGCGACCAGCCATGGCCTTCGCGCTGGGCACGGGCTGCTCCGCTTGGTTCGGATGCCTTGAAGCCACATACTCAAATCTTCGCAAAAACTCAACTTCGTCACCACACAAAGGAGACATCGCAGATGTAAAGACTGAGCAATGCACCCTTCGCCTAGCTGATTCCAGGGCCTGCAAACGCAAAGGCGAAAGAGCAGCGGAGCTAAGCTTCGAGACTGCAGGCGGTGCATACAGGGAAAAAGGCCTAACTTAAAATTAACAGGACAACAGCCCACCATCAATGCTGGAAATTTCAGAGGCTCATTAAGATTACCGCGTCGCAGTTCTTGCATACGGTTGAAAGACCGACATTTGCCATACATGCTGTCGGAGCGGCATGTTCTCCATTGCGCTTCCTCCGAGCGGGAGCGGTAGTCATCACCCGTGCTGCGGCCAGTGTAAGCCTATCGCTGGGAACCGCGCCCAAACTTCGCTTTAGCTCCCAATATGGCCTGGCAGAGCACTGCATACCAGCTATCCGGCGCTTATCACACATCCTGCACCGCTCATGTTCAATAACAGTCCAGACTTGAAACCGGGCAACGGGTAACGCATGCAGGGAGACATTTGCGATGCGATCGTCTTGCGTCCAGGCTTCATGTTGAAGGCCCGCGCAGGGGATCTTGGATAGACGCACGCTTTGTTGATCTGGCAGATCCGTGGTGTTTGAGGCTGGTTGTTCTGCTGGGATATATAGCATCCTGCGCCGACTCGCCGTATCGCTGAAGGAGCACAAGAATCTCAGTTAGGAGCCCCACCATGCCGAAGCTGAGGGCTGGAGCCCCAGCAGAATCAACCCGACAAGGGATGTTCAGAGGAAGCTGAGCTTTTCATGGAGCCTCCCGTCGCAGAGGATAAACCCAGGATAAACCAGGTGCCGTGCTCGAGCTTCGAGGTCTGGCTGCAGGCCTTGTGCACAAAGGGACAGAATCGCTACAGTAGACCCTCATCAACCATTCAGCTGCCATGCTGGAGTCCGCTGTGGCATCTCCTGGATACTGATCACTTCAGAAACAGGCTGCCGGTTGCTGAGGCAGGGACGGACTTCTCCGACAGGTGGTCCTTGCACACATCAACACAACAGCATATGCACGGCCGGTCAGGCAGCGGATGCAGGGTATCTTCCTTCCAGTGTTTTGGGCTAGGTTTTACGTCTTTCAATCCGGGCGAGGCGTCGCTGTGCGTGTGTCAACTCGAGTCGAGGGAGAATCATCCACTTAGAAGAAACTGCCGAACAGGCTTTATGACTTGTCCAGCCACGTAGCCCAAATGTAGGGATTGAGGACCCACTTGGTTTGGAGGTTTCGACTCTCGCAACTCGCACAAGGCAGCCAAGGCAGGGTTTAGGATTTGGGCTACAGGACTTTAAACGTTTCCGATCTTGCTTTTTAGTTATTTGCAGTGAATGTCCTGCGGTGCCAGGACTCGAAACCAAGGATCTTCGGGCAGTTCGGGTCTATCCTTATTTCATGCCAAGAGTTCCTCCAACCTCCTCCATTCCCTGCTACAAAATTTCCAAACAGCACCCAACGCCTGCACTGATGTGCCCACCAGACCTTGGGCGAAGCCCACTTGTTCTCCACCTTCATCTGCAAGCTCTGCAGGCGCATCTTCTGCTCCGGCGACCTGGCCATGCACAGCAGGAGCCCTGTGTAAGGCTTGACAAATCTCCTAGCAGGACATCTGTGCCGATTGAAACTCACCGAGGTTCAAGCACTTCCGGGTCTCGACTGTTCTCCTTCTCATCGGGCGCGAGGAACTCACTCTGCGGCCAGGGGGTGCGCTCCGGGGTCACCTCCGGTGAAACCTCGCAGTAGCTCGACAAGTGTCTGGGGCGGCACGACGGCGGTGCTATATGAGAACGTCCGGACCCGCACAACTACAGCGATGCTGGTACCAGCGGTGATACGCAAGCCACTGAACGAATTGCAAGAGTACAGCACGACTTGTCAAGACTGCACAATCAACCGAGCACCATGCAGGAGGTGTGTATGCCATGTTCCTTCCAGCAAGTGCCCAGAAAGTAGGATCGATTAACAGGCGCGCAGTCTGTGCTGACTAATTACTGCCACTGACACTGCTACCACTCATACTACTACTCATGCTATTTCGGGTTCCACATTTACTCTTCCTCCTCCTCCCCCTCCTCCGGCCGCCAACACCAACCACTGCTAATGCTGCTGCGATTCAGACCGACTGGCCGACTAGTTAACTAGCCCTGCTACTGCGAGTAGGAGCCTAAGTACGAGTAGAAGTGAGTAGCAAGCGTAGCCGCAGCCATAGCAAGAGCAGGAGCAGTCGTAGTACTCGTCGTCGTCGGAGCCAATAGTAGTGGTAGTAAGTGGTAGTAGTACTTTTTGCTCCTGCCACTACCACCACCACCACTACCACTGACAGCGCTGAGACCGAGGCGGCTTCGAAGATCGTGGTTTCGAAGGCGTTGGCACCTGAATGGCAGTGGGTCTGTAGGCAGATCTGTATGGACACCGCGGGCCAGTGAGCGCCGACCGGCGATGCAGGCCAACGCATGCAGACCTGAAAGAAAGGCGTTGAGCCTTGTCCTTCGAGGGTGAGCTTACCTCCTCGCAAGCCTGGCGCCGCACTCGCAGTCGGGTGGCGGCGATCACTTTATCACTTCGCTGCTAAGGGCTGCTCCGATCTTCTTTGAAACATTCCTCGAGTCTCAACGAGCTGTTGTGCCTTGCGCCGGGACGGCAACGGGCTTGTCGCAACCTTGCCCTCAATTGGCTCCTGGCGTCGGAGATGTTTTCCGGGTGTGTGCCAGTGCTGCGGTGCTAACTTTAAACATTGATAATTCGCTTTGGATTAGAAATGGAAACTAACCTAAGCCTCGCAACTCTACGACTACATCTGGACGCCGTATTTCTGCGATCTTCACCGACAGTGTAGGCTTGCGAGGCAACGGTTGCGAGCCTAGCCCTTCCTAACAGCTCCGATTGGCCATAAGCTATTGCGTGTCGCACATGAAACAACACCCGAATCATGTACATGTCATAGCCAACATCTAGGAATCTAGGCTCCGGTCCAAAGGCTCTGTTCTTCAAAAGGCTTGAGACACGTACAGACAGTTTCAGCACGAGGGTTTAAGTCGGAGTAAGGCTACAAGTGTATCGCCAGAAACTCGAGCTCCACCTGTAATGAAGGTTTTCCGAAACAAAATCTTGCAGTAGATCGATGACCATCGTGAAAACACAACACCGTTGTTTTCCTGCAGGGCTCGTCTTGGGAGTGAGGGGGCCTTCTCACATGCGAAGAAGTCGGATCCAGGTATCCAGACATTGCCTATACCATTACGGCGATCGCCAAATCGCAGGAGATCTGTCACTTGGTATTATATGCTCAACAGACACTTCGAAACAAGGCTTGCGACATGTGCCCTTGAGTGTTCGGTCCTCTGAGCTTGCAAAAAACAGACATGTGCGAGGATGCGCATTGTCACATGCATGCATACAGACAGACACACATACATACATGCAGACAGACATACATACACACATACATACATAGCCTCGCATAGCACAACAAACCCTACGAGTAGCATAACAGATCGCAACATGCCATTGCATGGCATAGCATAACATAACATAGTACACAACCCTATGCTTTCTTATGTTATACCGTCGTATTACCTACCCGATATTATGTTCTGTTGCGTTATGTTATGTTTTACTATATTATATAAATCTATATTATATTACATTATACTTTATTATATGATGCTTTTGATAGTAAGCATCATTTTCAAGCTGACCCCTGCGTCGCGACGGCGTGATCCTGCAGCAACTACGAGTAGAAGTTTCGGTTCTCGTGGTTTTCAAGTCTGAAAGTTTGGATTAAAAGGTATGCGACCAACAGCGGGCCAGAAAGGCAGAAGTACGGCAGAGGAGGAACGCGGCCAAACGTTAAGACCAAACGAATCGGCTGCCTCTGTTTGCTCGCGCAGCCAGGGGTGTGAGAGCGCCTCGTCCACAGAGATACCTCCGAGCCGATTCTCAGAGGCCAAAACTTGGAATGACAAGATCATAAGCTGCGCACGTTCGGCTGGGTCTTTAGTCAACATTCTCTGCACCAGGTCCCACGCCAATGGGCCTCAACACGATGCAAACGGAAGCATATGCCCACGTCGTGGCACGTCTAAGCTCTTTCTGATTTCGGGCAGCTGGCTGATGTGGTTCGGCCGTAATTTGTCAGAAGGCGGGCCTCGCATTGCCAGGGCTTGGGTGGTGTTGAGCACTGGACAAGATCCGAGGACCCTGCACACTGCATCGATCTCCTGGTCCCAGGCGCGCCGCTCCGCACCGTCCGGAAACCGAAGCTGAGCGCATGGCCCACAGCAGCCACTGCTGGCGAAGCAATGTTGACTTCACTGGATCTCGCTCTGAAAGCTTGGTCCTGATGCGGTCACGGATGAACTGGTGTATGAACTCCAGCATGCGTGTGCTGCTCCAAATGCTTCGAGCTCCGGGCACGCCAGGATCCAGGTTGGTTTGGAGTAGCGTTCTCCTGAAGCTGGCAATGCAAGAACACCGCTGATAGGCTCAGCCCCTCTATAGCGTTTGTTTCTCCCCCTACCTCGCGGACTGTGAGAAGTCTGTCAGCGGCAGACCAGCACAGTGCATCGGACTAACACTGTAGGGGCGTTCAACGACCACTCAGAGCCCCTCACCCCGTGATCATCTGGAAAAGGGTCATTCCGGCACTCCACACATCGGCCTGCACCTGAAAAGCAGAGATTTGCGAGAGACTTGGTTTGCCCGCCAAGTCAGAAAAAGCTCATAAGTTATCGCAATCGTGCACGCATGTGTGCCGAGGTATGCTGGGATCCATGCCGTTTGCGGCACCTCAAAGCAGTTGCCAGGAAGCTGTATGCAAACCTCTCCCAACTATCTCGTGCCAATGCATTGGCCATCTCTGTGCAGCATGATAAGGCGCACACATTCGACAGCACTTCGGGGGCCATGTAGAGCAGCGTGCCTGCCTGCGGCAGGTTTTGCTACAAGTCGTCTCGAACTGTTACGTCACACTTGCTACAGCAGCCACCAATTCAGCTCCTAGCCGAAGCCCGCGAACCAGAAGGACCACACAGAAAGCGAGCGGTACTGTAAGCGCATGCAAGGCCCAATTGACAGCCTGCGTGACCGAAGATGCCAAAATACTGCGTCCCTGATGCTTCTGATGCTGGTCCCTGCCCCCCGCCAACCCCCTCTCCGACAGTTAATACACATTCCGCTCGCGGTCAAGCTTTTCCGTTGAGGGTTTTGTCAATGCACTTGGAGCCATTTTTGGTACACAGTTTGGTTGGCTTTGAGTCTAAGGGGCCCTTTATCTAGAACTTCTGGGGGATACCAAGTGGACTTGCTAAGTCTACTAAGCATCCAAGTAGAGTTTGTTGGCAGGCCCGTGTAGGTTTAGCTTCGTGGGTCGACTGTGCACTGAAGTTTGTCGGTTTTCAGGGCTGTGTCGTCTTGAGGGTGCAGCCTTTCACCATGCGCTTTGAACCAGTTGTTGTCAACAGTTTGGCTGGCTTTGTGTCCTAGTCGTGCTTTCTGTACACGGACAACAACATACAGGCAGTAGGATAATCTCTGAGGACGGTGCAAGGCATGTCGGGCGATCCTCCTTTCGGCAGCACCAGCCAAAATCTGCAAGTCGCAACCTCGACACAGACACGGGCTCGCAATGCCAAGCCCCTTGGGAGTCTCAGATGATCGATCAGCCAGCTCAGCATGCCACAGCCCATCCGCTGTGCATAGCAGGTTATCTGGCTTGATGTCTCGGTGGATGAAGCCCAGCCTCGGAGGCAGCAAAGGATGTACAGTGCAAGCACGTCACGTCGCATCATGTCGCAAGGGGTCTGGCTTGTGCACCACCTGCAAGCCGAGCATCAATTGTCTGGCCTTGGAGAACACTGACAGGCTGAATTTAAAGTGCAGAGCACGAAGCTTCCGTGAGCTTCCAGGCGATGCTTTTCACCGTCTTTTCGGACAGAACGCCTTGCTTGCGCAGCAGATCTCCTGCAGCCATGCTCTGCAACAGCCTCTTTTCATTGCAAGGAGGGGAACTGCGGAGCCTTGCTCGCAAAGCTCTAGCAAGAGGTACACCTTGGAATCTCGAAGCCACTCCAATGAAAGAAAGCCTCGACGAAGGGCGTCACAAGCGCCGGGCAAAGTCGCCCTCTTGAGTGTCCTCCAGCAGTCGCAAAACGTGGGTCTCCTGCAGCCGGTCGCAACGTGCATGCCGAGATTTGTGCACATGGGCCGCTTCGGAGCTCCAGCTGGTCTCTGTAGAGGGTGGCGGCACGCATGGCTTGAATCTCCCAATCGATCTGGCACCTTGCGATGTCTGTCTCGCTCCTGAGTTCCTCGCGTCGAAGTCTCGGGTGCAGGACTCAATGCCACGGTTCGCGAAGTTGGATCTGCTCATAACCTGAACACTGTGTAAGCAACCGCCGCCAAGCTCAGCCATCCGGCTTAAAACAGTGTGCCTTCACTGCGTAGCCGGTATGGCTGGTACGATGCCGGACATGAAACACCTGTCATCTTCCGTTCCCTCCCCCAAGCAGCATTTCACCTCGCTGACAGCCAGACACCCGGCCTCTGCAAAAGCTCCTCCACCGAGCTGATGGCCACCCGGCCCTGCGAGTTCTGTGGCGACATGCCCCCTTGTTACACTTCCTCGTGAAATCATTTGGGCCAAGGCAGAGCTCATAATCGACCTTGGCAATGCAGCGAGCTCGCACTCGACGTCTGCAGCTTGCAGCAACTGGAAGGCTTGCACCCATCGAGGCTACTGCTTTCCAGGCCGTCGGGAGGGGCGGCGGGACGCCAGACTGAGTTGACACAGCTTGACACTGCATGACTACGTGGCGTGCGGAGGCACTTCAAAGAGTCATGTAGCTTCCCGGACAGTGCTGCTGGGTATTGATGCCACAATACCAGCCTGCGAAGGACGAAGCTCTTCCTCAGGGAGCACTTGGCATGCCTGCACATGAAACCGTCCAATAGTCAATAGCCATGCAATCATGGCAAACCGCAGAGGTCCGTCCAGTACCCGGAACACTGAGCGCGCATCTTTCAATCGCAGGGTTTCGAAGCTCCCTCTCAGGAGCAGCGTCTCTCCTGGCCCTGCTCTTTGGCAGAACCCCGCTACAGCGCACCTTGTGCGTTCAGCGTCGAGGCCGACCGGAACTGGCTGACAGACCTACTCCAACACCCGCGAAAATATACACAGTAAGCCCGGTATTGGGAGCGCACCACCTTGACAGTTTTTGTTAGGTTTGTGGTGCTGCCTCCGTCTGAGCACCTCGAGAGTCACATATTCGGACTCGTCCGGAGAGGCTGTCGAGAAGAAACACCTGCTGAAGCTCTGGCACGAAGAAGGCATGCGGCGTTAGCACCTGGACGGCGCATTGTCCTTGGTTCCGTGCCGAAGTTGGGATAAGTCATGATAAGCCACTTCAACTCCAAGGGCCCTGTACTGGCATCTGCTGACGTGTGCAAAGCATGTTCCTTTCAATCATGCTTTACTCACGTCTATTCACATGACGGTAACTAGTTACCGCTTGGTGGCTGGCGGTTGCCCTGCTGCCGAGGATCGAGTTTGATCGCGCCACATGAGTTCGTCGACGGTCCACGTGTCCGTGGCTCTAGCTGGCCTGACAAGCGTGTTTGGCTTTTGGGTGTCCGCGCTGGTTCGTTAAGGAGCCGCACCCCCTCACGAGCTCCCACACATGTGTAGGTCCGAGGTCTCCGAGTGCATTCTCCGCCCTCTGCTGGTCAGGTGCTGAGTGACAAAATCTTCAACCCATCCAATTCCCCTTGCCGCCACTTCGGGGGCTGTGGAAGGGCTTATCAACTCAACAAATCCTGAAGCTGGGCCCCCAGACCTATCCCTCACAGTGCCTCGCTACCTGACAGCCAGGAGTCCGCTCGTCTTTCCCGGCCCGAAGCCTTGCGTAAGTCTTAGCCCCTGCCCGCAGCTCTCAGGCTCCGTCCCTGATTTCTTGCATTCAGAGCGAGGCAGCTAGGTGGCTACAACCAACTGACACCTGTCAATGCATTTTTTCCCTCCCACTTAGCAAGGACGAGCCCGCATTGCAGGGTTGTTAATGCATGCACGCGGAGGTTGCGGAATCGCAGCTCAGACGGCCTTGAAGTAGGCTGGAATGTGTGCTGCCAGCCGTCTGCCAGCAAGCGTGGAATCTGCTCGTTGAAGCCGTACAGGCAGAACCTTCGCCGCTAGCTGAAGCACAGCTTCAACGAGTCCGTACTAAGTTGATTAGCCAGAGACGGAAGCAATTCATGCAGCATCGTTCAACCATACCTGTCTCCATCGACATGCGCCTGCCGTCCTCGCGACGAAGCGCTGTTGTAAAGGACACGTTCTCCACGCAGAAAGGGACCTCTCAGCTGGTCATGTAGAGATGCTGGAGGGGCGGCTTGGAGAAGTACTGCGCTCTCCATGCACCAACCCTGGGCTGCCTGGTGCTCCAACGGAAGCGAGCCTGGCGCGAGAGCCTGAATCGAAAAGGGTCTACCTTGCTACGGCCCCCAACGCATCCCAGCATGTGGTAACTGTTACAGACAAGAAGTTATCGTCCAGTTCAAGGCAACGCCTCAATCACATAGTCATGCGAGGCACCGTGGCCTACGACAAGCAGAGTCCTGCATCTGGTTGGGAGAAGCAGCCATTTGACTAAGCTACATACCACATCTTGTCTGTGCTTGTCGGTGACACACCCGGGTCCTTGGAATCGGCTCTGTGCGCATGGCCCGAGAAAGCGCCTGTGACCAGACATTGGGCATACTGCCGACACAAGTTTGGACTCCGAAGTCGCCAGGCCTCCCGGGCACGCGCTATGGGTCGCGCGCGCTGCACTGCATCACCTGCAGTAGACCGGCAGGCGCATTGATGCAGCTTCTTTCTTGCTGAACCAGTGAACCAATGCCTGGAAACCCATTGGTTGCAGTCGCTCGCTGAAAGCTGGATGTGCACTGCCACGGTTGTCGAATCGTCCCAGCCTGCCCGCGCTGGGCCTACGAAGTCAGGATATCCAGGAATTGGAGACTCGTATCCGGCGTCGATAAGATCTCCAGCAACATTGGGCAACTCTTCTCCAGTCTTCCTGGCAACAGCAGACAGATTCCTTCTCTCCAGCAATCGAAAGCTATCTTTGCTTGCTGCCAGCGATGCCCGACCACGTTGGACAAACACTGCTTCAAACACCAAGCGTCTGAAATTTGCCAAAGTGAAGCTGCGGCAGCGGGTTGGCATGATACCTCAAGGAAAGGGCTGCACAGAGCTCTGTTAAGCAATGACCGGTGAAATTGCTGAACTTGCCGCTCAGTTGGTGAAAGCACCAAAACAATTGGCGAGAAGGGTTACCAAGTCGTCCTACAACGGGAAAGACTTCCCCCCTGGTTATGTCAATTTTTTGCATCGTTATATTCTGTCAGTTCACGAAGCTACATCGGCGGCGAGCATGTACAACACTCGCCCAACAAGGCGTACTCACACAGACTCGAGTTATCGTGAGGCAGGAAGGATGCTTCCGACATGTGCAGCTCAGCAGGATCTACGCATGATTTGCAGCCGCTGCAGAAGCTTCACTTGCCTTGGGTGTAGCCCGTGCTATTAAATTTTACAGTGAAACTTCACTACACACTGCCTCGCGAGACGTCTTTTGGGAAACAATGTGCAACAGAGCGCTGCCACATGGCTTCAGCACAGGAGCAGCCATTCGTGCGCAAGTACTTCACTGAAGCCCCAGTCGACGCGAATCTGCTTTCCTAACATGGGAATGAAGTTCGACAAGCTATGCGGGATGATCAAAGCAAGCAGCAAGGAAGTTCAGGCTGAAGCATCACGGAAAGCAAACGATCGAAACGAGCCCTACCAGAACCTCCCCTCACAACTCGTGCCAACTGTGAGCAGCATCAGCTAGTTTGGCTGGTGCATGAGATGGGTAGTGGTCAGCATGACTAGCTTCGGATCGTGCATGGTACACTCGGCCCGATGCGCTTTCAACTGTCGCAGATTCCGATGCGTGCGGGCTACAAGAACCCTCAAGGACGGCGTTTATGGGCACCTTCAGCGGTGAAAATCTTCCCCTCGACTCACTCCTCCTCATGCTCATACACTTCTGCGTCTTTTGGCGAAGACTACTCTTTGTAGCTCGCTTTCCCGGCGTGTTGCATTTCGAGAAACCCTGGTGGCATCGTTAACCCTGATGGCATCGTTCTCCTTTGGGTGCTGGTGACTTCTGCCGCTGCAACCTCGCAGTGAAGCCGAAGTTGATTGCAGATCTGTTCAAGCCGCGAGATCGTGACAGAACACAAGACATGCCAAGTCACACGAAACATGAACGACAATTTGTGCTTTGGCAGCTTTTTGGTTGTCGCCGACGGGAAGTCAGCAGAATGGTCGATGGATTAAGCAGCCAAGGCTCCAAGAGCTTTCGCCAAGGGCGCAGCAGTCTGCAAACAGCGTATGAATGGCGATGAGAAGATGGCATCGATGCAAATGCCGCTCCGCCTGACGAAGCCAACAGAGGTGGCAGCCTTGAGCGACTAATATTTCGAAGGTAAGTGCTAGTTCGGCAACGAAGCACGAAAGCTACAGTATGAGGATGCGCAAATTGAGTCGACGAGCCTTAACATCGATGCCACGTGCTCAGCTTGCTGGAATCCAAATGCGGATAGCGATGGATCTGGGATCTCGTCCGGCCTCCGATCAAAGGATAGTTACTCATCGATAGCTCCACACTGACTCGAACACTGCCTGACGTCAGGCCCTGTCGATCATGTAGGTTTAAGCACTCTGTCGTGAGAGCACCACAAGATGCCGCACGGAAACTCCAGCATACTGCCAGGATCTGAACTCTTCCTATGTGTTACAGTGGTCGGAACACAGAACCCACGAGAAGCTAATGATTACAAACGACTGCTGAACGGTGTCAAAGCCCGTGTCTCCTCTGGCCATGCCGCAAGATCAGCAGTCGGCGCGCCATGGCCGCTGCGTCGCTGCTAGTAACTGCTAGTTCGTCACCGTCAGCCGCTGGTAGCACCGACGGGTGAATTGTCAGAGGGCTAGGATTGGAAAGTAAACAATCGCTAGTTCCTTGGCAAGGTGATCTCAGTCAAGCCACAAGGCAAATGTCACATATGTCACGAGCCGTTCCTTGCGTGCATCATAACGAGTCAAGAAATTTCACTTGGCATCTGGACTGACCGCCTGCAGCGGGAGACGGCGTGGCATCAGGACCTGTTCTTGGCATGTCTGGTTCAGCCGATGATCCACCGCTTGAGACTACTGTGCCCCCTGCAAGACTTCTAGCAAATCCCATTTCAGCTTCGTTCTGCGCCTGCTTTCGCTCGTGCTCAGCAAGAAGGGCCGCGTGGCGCTGATGAATCTGCGAGCGCTCACCAACATGGCCACGGACAAGGACTTACACCAACCGAGGCCTAAAGGGACTAGATATGCCTAAATACTGACTACAGGGCACATTGGCCATGGCACGGGCCTCTGGACCTGCCGAGGCTCGCTTGTGACGCATTGTGGGAGCCTGGGGGCCGTAAAGACACGAGATGACACGCGAAGTCCCCAGAGTCAGGGTAACACTTGAGCTTCAGACTGCATGACCGGCTGGCCGAAGGAACAACCTCGGCATTCGAGGACTCCACTTCGGGGAGGCTGGGCCCGATCTGGAGGAAAATCGGAGCTCTGCGGAAAGCACTCGGCTGGAAGGAATGCCCGATTCTTTGGAACATCTTTCAAAAGTCTCAGCAACGTGGAAAGGTGGCCGACATCATGCACGAAGCAATCGACGAGGCCAACTCGTTGCCACTCACCGCTTTTTCAGGAGGGTTGAGGCTGCCTTTGCCATTGGGGTTTCGAGGGATCAAGCAGCAGTGACATGAGCTTTTTCTGGACACGTCCCCGACCCGATGCCCAAGGGGGGGGAAGCCCGTCACGCATGATTCCATTCAGGAATTGCGCTTTGACACCCACGGCTGCGCATACGTGCATGATGTACTGAGACAAAAACTTCGTCGAATCCAAGCCTGCCTCTCCAACCTGTGCCATAGCGATTCACTCTGAGTCAAACCCTTTACGGCCATCGTGCTTCCTGACAGGTCTGAGACGAATTTGTCCCAGATCCCATGTATAAAGCAATACTGACACTCACAGCCTCAGTTTGAGACTGCTGATGCCCATGCGGACCGTGGCCGTGACGCTGAAGAGCTGGCCTCGGCCAGGACTTCTGGGCTTCCCCAGATTAGCTTAGCAAATCAGAGAGCCGGGCCTGTTCGGATGCGGCCCAAGAGCTGCAACCTGGCCAGTGCAAATCCAGGCACACATGATGCTGCCCTGGTTCACTGGGGAGATGTGAGCTTATAGAGGAATCCATGCAATGTCGGGAAAACCGAGAGCACGGTCCTCGTATCAATACTTCAGGAGTGCATCAAAACGTGCCAGGCAACATAGTGTTGCTGAGGCTGCCCACCGATGCGCACGGCTGCCATGTTGGCAACAGACCCGCCGTCTAGCGTGGTGTCTCTCCGGCTGCCCGCGCTTCAGAGCCAAGTTCAGAGCATGAGCCGAGTGCTGGGCGGACTTCCCCAACCGACATGAAGCATGCAGACCGCAGACCATGCACATTTGCGGCGGGGATTGCCCTTCCGGCATTTTCACCAGGCCAGTCTTTGATACCCGGGGAAGTGCTTCACTGGGTCCTTGAGCAGCGCGATGTCCTCCGAGGGCTAGCCATGAAAAGCATCCGCAAGAGCCACTGCAGCACTCTCACCACTCCCTCACCAAAACGTCAGCAGCTGATTACAAGTAGCAGCTAAGACCAAGCTTCTGCTGCATTGAAGATGCCTCAGATGGGGATGTCGTGATGAACGCTGCAACTCCTATCAATGTCGGAAGTTGTGGCCATCACAGACTCGGCTCCAACGCAATTTTGCAGCATGCATGCGTGACGAGGACATTCCAGCTCTGCATCACAGCGAAAATTGTCACATACATGCAATGACAAGCCCCTATCAGTGAATGTAAGGCTATTCAAGAACTGGCACTGATCTGGGCGCACGCACTGAATTCGAGAAGCACGATCCTGAAGGTGAAAGGTGCGAATCGAAAAAATCACAACCGGCACCACGACCACCTCACACACACACACACACCTCTACCTCAAGCATGCAAGCACTGGACGTGCAGAGCCTGCTTCACCTACATTCCTTCAATATCCAAAATCTTTCTCTACACCAGGGCACCAGGTGCTGTCACCGCGGCTGCAGAGTACGCCTTGGCTCCAGCTGCAGCATAATATGCCAAGCACTGCTCCTACACTCCCAAACATGCCAGCTACCAGTGTTCGTGAACTTGCATGGAGCAGGCTGACTGCAGCAAAAACCTGCTTTGGTTCACTTCTACCGGTGTGTCTGCAGTAATGTCACCTTGCAAAGGAGGCAGCGCCACCTCTTCGGACAGTCCATCCGGGCCTGGAACGTCGCTGCACCACATATCAGCACGGTGCGCTAAACCGACAGTACAGGTGCAAAACACTACAGACAGCCCAACACTTTCAATAGCAAGGGCAAGGCTCCGTGCTCACCATCGTAGCGGCGGGAGGATGCCGAGCGCACTCCCAGAAATGTCAGCTGCCGGCCTTCTACTCGCACTCGGCCTCCCAGGGGGCCCACACTTGCACGGGAACGTAATGTCGCATAGCATCGGGCCGACCTTCAATCTCAACCTCGTTGAAGCCGTGCTGGTTGGAGCCGTAATACTCCAGTTTGAAGCGCAGGTCTTGGGAAATGCCAAGGGACATATTGCCTTAGGAGTATAAGTCAACTCTGGAGCAGATTCCAATCCACATCCGCTTCGCGTGATGCTTGCGAGGGGGGGCGTGTGCGGTAATAGCATCTGCCAGACTCTGCTCGACGGACGGCGACTATATGTCATTCGACCATGACATCGGCTGTCCAAGAGCCTTGCTACCGAGGATCCCATGCACTCCTGGCCCATGTCCTGCAGGTACTCCCGAACCACTCCAAACTCGACAATTGAGCAAGTCGCGGTGGAAGCGGATGGCAAGCCTCGGAGATTGCTGTGTGGGTTGCAAGGCATAAATGCTGGCTTGTCGACGTGACAAAGATTGTGACATGCACAAAAGAGAGACCTCCCACCCTACTGCCTCCCCACTTCACAACCACAAGCAGCGCAAGGGCCCAGGCCCATTTTCCGCAACGCCTCCTCTTGAGACATCGGTTCGCAGAGCTCCTATAGCCCAATCAGTTGGCGCCATTGGCAGCAATTAAAGACTGAGACTGCAGCTTGTTAAGGCTTGCATGCATGTCTTAGTCTTTCTCTGCTCCCTGACCACGCTGCGCGAGCGCAGGTTTACCCGTGTCTGGCTCCGTGCGTGCCGCATGTCCCTGTATGTCCGTGTCCTGCCAGCCAGCACCGATGGCCACCTTGAGCATGCTGTGAGTGTGCTCCTTGGATGTCAAGGCGGCACTCCGAAGAAAGCGCGGCTTTGCAGCGAAATTTGCCGAGATGCCATCATGTTGACGACAGCATCCTCCAGAATCTTTGTCTTCTGCAGAGTCGCCTGCTGGGCGACAGGACATCGCACACAAAGGCTAGCATCTCCCAGCCTCTGACTTCCCCTCCCGCTCATGCAGGAGCTGCAACTCCTCGCGCAGCTGCAGGTTCCTCAAAAGGCCGCTCCGCTCCAGCGTGTACAGCTGCAACCACTGACCGAAATCCGTTGGAATCTTGGCAGGACTAAGCGACTACCTTCGTCCGCTTGCTTCAAGGCGCTGCTTCTGCAATTCCTCCACATCCTCCTGTCACGCGATGGAACTTGGCATGTGCATCGCCGGAAAACATTGCGGCAGCTTGGCAAACATCTGAGTGGGAAGCCAGCTGGGGTCAGGAAGGCACACTTTGTACACGGAAAGCCGCAACACTCGAGCTGCATATTGTCAATTGCATGAGTCATCAGTCAGAGGTGAAGTTAAGGGGTCGTCAGGGCAAAAGCTCTGAAGGCCGCTCCGTAACGGTGGGCAACCCGTTCGGTCTCTCTGTGTTCTGGAGATCCGGGCAGTTGCTATCGTTGCTTCTTCACTCCGGAGGCCCAAACTGTGAAACTGTGTTTTAGCTACATAACGCGCCATGCTTGAAAGTGTGAGTTTCATGCGTCCACCTATCTGCTGGGATCTTTCTAGTCACTCGAGTCGCTGGCAGAGGGAGCACTGGACTCCTGGGTTCGCTTCTGCAGCGCAGCCACGGACTCGCACTGTTCGCGCAGCTGGGCGAAGCCTCTTGCAAGGAAGATCCCGTGCCCACAAAGCTCTTGGTTGATGCCAAGTGACGGAGGCTCGCTTCTTGCAGCTCCGCTTCGAGACGCAGCGCCTGGGAAGGTGTTATCCACCATGTTTTCTTTCCGACGTAATCAGATGCGGCTGGTATCCGTTACAGGAACTATCAAGAGATAAAGGCTGTCGGATGAAACGGCGCCTTCTCTTTGTACATCTCCAGCTCCGTCAAGCCACGCCTCGCTGGCGCGAGTTGCACGTCGAATGTCAGAAGCTGTAGACTTGCAAAGCCACTGCAAAGCCACTGCAAAGCCACTCTGTCGCGGCCTGCTGGAGTCCAGCTCAAGCTCCTTCTGCGCGAGTGCGACCCCGACTTGCAGCGCCACATCCTGCCACCGAGAGCTCACACGTTTCAGTGTTACACACCCGTGTCAAAAGGTCCAGATTCTGAAACGGGAACTGCGCATTTGAGTTCGGTTCCTTCAAGATAGGGATGTGTGCGGCAACCTGTTCCACAGTAAACCTTGGTTGAACGAACGGTTCCGAAGTTTAGGCGATGGCTGCTGCCTCACATTGCAAGGCCATGAATGACATGCCAAGTATCTGTCGCACCAGGTCCACAACTGGCCTGAGCTCACGTGGGAAAGACTGTTCAGGTCATGTTCAAGAGGGCAGGCATCTTGCGTCTCGTCAGCCTATGATGAAAACATATGAGAACTCATCTACTTTATCCACTGATGTTTGTCTTGTCTCAATTTTCCAGCAGGAAAAGCTTGGCAATCAAAAGTGCACAAAAAGTTAAACCTGCAACATCCTCATCACCAAGCTTTGGAATCACAAGCGCGATCGCAATTACCTCGCCTGTCAACTACTGAGACTACTGCTGGTCCTCTTCATCATTACACACGCCGTCATCGGCACTGCCGAAAAAGCGAATCGGAAGTCAGCAACGCCTCGATACAAGTCTAAAGTTACATCTCGAATCTGTAGTCCGAAGTTAGATTAGATGTCTGAGGCCTGGAACCTGCATTCTCAACCTGAAGCTGGAACATCAATAGTTCCAACAACACGACGAACACCAAACACAAAACTCAAAACTAATCGCCAGCACAAACGTGCCGTGCATAGTGACGATAACGAAGCATGAGACGCAAAGTTTGCTCTTTTGCTTTGGGAAGTGATTGCCCCATCTGTGCCCACACGTTTTTGCACGAGGCTTTCACCTCACCTGACGCTTAAAACAACACATAGAAGACGAAACGGCCCTGTGCAAGCTCCAGCTTCGAGAAAGCCACATTGCTTTAGCCATATTCGAGCCGTGATGGTGGCAGAAAATCGCCTTCTGCTTGTGACCCAGTCAAGCAGTGAGGCTTTTTTGGTGCTTGGGAACGAGAAACCCTCCCAGCCACCTGCAATGCGTACGTAAGTTTAAGGAGGCTGAGCAGCTCCGCAAAGGTGGAGCCCTGGAGACAAGCAGACAACAAAGCCCAGACACAGCCCACGAATACCGTTCTACGGCTGGCGCAACATCATAATCAGTGGCAGCAGCAGGACAGCAAGTTGGTTGAATAATCAGATAATCATTTCATCACCACTATGATCTTCCCCCTGAAACTATTGCTCTAGAGTCACTGAACCCGTCATCTCGGAAACGACACGATGCCAGAGTCGTCATACCGCCCGAACCTATATATGCTGTCTCCCATTCAGCATACGGGAATGCAAGTTCACGGCAGTACTTGTGGTCAGGGCACTCGCGACATGTTGGGCAGCTAAAAGAGGAACTCAAGGAGCAGCCAAAGCAGCCAATGCAGAAGCAGTGCCCACCTTGGCTGTTGCGGGCTGTTGTTGGACCAATGAGCATTGCTCGGGCCCATGGGTTCATTGCTAGGTCTTTGCGTCCAGCACCCTCACAACCAAGTTGCAGTAGCCACTAGCAGCCTCCGTCATGATCTCCATGCCTCGGATTTTAAAGGTCACGGTCAACACGGTGCCATGCCTCTTCTGGTCAGAACTTCAAAACACACGACTTAGTGCAACTACATCGGGCTGGTCTGCAAAGGGACAGGTTGGAAGGCTCCGGGATTGCCTTCGGGCATACTCAGCGCAAGTGGTACCTCCTCGTGCTTCCCCGACGGTTGGGCAAATGGGTTGAATCGCATGTCGCCCTCTCCGCCTACATCCCAGCCGGAGGCCCCCAGCTTTGTGCATCACTATTCAGTGACAGTTGTTTGCACACCTTCTACGGTGCAGCTTGCACCTGCAGCTGCTGGCATCCATGCAGTATGGACTCGAGCTGACCAAATGCTGTTCGTCGATGCGTTGTAATACCAACATTAACAAAGAGCACTTGCATGCAAAGCGATTCTGGGACGTACTGTGATGGTGATAAACTGGTGATAAAAAGCCGCATCGCTGCTTCCTTGTGAGCACCGGTGTTTCAGGACTGGTGTTCAAGCACTGCCTTGCATGGTCTTACTGGAACTACAACCAAGAAACAGATCGGGCACTCGATGCAGGAGACCAGGCTTTGGCTTGCCTTGGACTTTGCGAAACTTGCAGGATACTGGCTTAGGGAGTAATGCTATTAGGCTATACTCACGGCTTTCGCAGGTCCGCACACATACATACATCAATGCAAGCAAGCACCCATGCATCATCATGCATCAATCCATCTATGCATCAATACAAACCGTATGTGCATAGTCATGACATAGTATATGACCGCGACTGCAAAACTTGCCCAAGAACACCGACAGGTTTGCCAGATCCGTCACGGAAGCTGAAGCCTCAACTAGGCGGGATCTGAAAGTGCAAGCGGATGGACCCGTCTCAACCCCCTCGCCGCCCCTGAGGCAGGCGGACTAGGGGAGAATAAAGTATTCAAAGAACACCGGTTCGAATCCGTGCTGGCATCTACATATATATATATATACATATACATATATGTATATACGCATGTAAGTATGTGAGCATATGAGAATGCATGTATGTTTAAAAAATAATAAATGTATGTATGTGTGTATGTTTGCGTATGCATGTAGTCATGTATGTATGTGTATACATGTCGATATAATTACACACATAATTGTATTTATTCATTTATTAGATTATTCGATATTATTCGTTTATTGTTTATTTATTTGTGCATGTGTGTAGGCAATATATGCTTGGCAAGCATTTGCGCATGACAGTCACAACTTCCGTCCGTAGTACTGCATCACGGGTCTCGGCATCAAACGCGCCATTCATTCGTCTGCGGCGAAGCTGTTTCCGCAGTTGGTTTAGACAGGTCTCCAAGACGGCTTGCAGAGCCAGCCCTCTTCCTTCTGGCTCTCTAGTTCTCCCCTTGCGCGCATGAAACCTGTAAGTTGCGTCACCCACCCTGCGCTTTGTGATTCGGTCTTCTGGAGGCAGGACCCCCAATCACAAATTTCATTTTTCCATCTGTTCGGAGTGTGCGGTAGGCTGATGGTCTTGCGTTTTCGTAGTGGCTTCTGCTCAGCACAGTAGCGTCTGAGTCTGTGCTGCGAAACCGCGGGGCACTTCTGCGCGAAAACCAAGCTCTATTCAACGAGAGCTGCCGTCTCCAGCTTGCAAAGCGCCTCGTTGGCTGACATCGCACCAGGCTGCCCATAGCGCATGGCAGTGTCGAGAGAACGCTGACTAGCGATACATTAGCGTCGTGCAAGTCGCCTCGGAGAAGATTGACGACGGATTGGACTGGGTTATCACCAAGGACTTGCCGAAACGGCATCCTCGCAACGAGTCCAGAGTCTATCTTGCTACACATGCTCCTGTCAATGTTGAGACGCAAAACATGACATGCTCTCGCCGATGGGTGAAACTGGCTGATGGTGGAGCAGTAAACAGGAGCATCGGCCAAGCGAAAACCAGAAAAGCACGATCTATGCAAACAGCCTCCGCATATGCATACGACCGCACGTCACATCACACATAATGAAGGATGCACCAAATCATGCAGGGCCCAGGTCTGAAGCAATACACCGTAGACGAACACCCACTTTTAAGAAACTCGCATGCGAGAGGGACTACCTTCAACTGGTTCGATGCTATGGTAGGGTCAGAAGACCTGAATTGATCATCTGAGGTGAGACATTGCATGCAATACTCTAACTTGGTAGTCGTGCTTCTGGTTGGGACATTGTTTATACTGGGAATCGAAGAGTAAGACTTGTAGCTTGCTGGAACTTTGGGCTTTAATTACGCGCTGCAGGGAAGAAGGCTCTAACTCATGCATTGATGAATTACTGCTTGCTCGAGACTCTCATGTTGGCAACTTCCTGGGATTTCCTGCCTCGGCACGAGAATCACAACATCTGCGCTGACCATCTTCCAGTCACAGTCTAGCGCTAATCACCTGTTTCGCGCCGTCACGACCCGTCAGGAACATGAAGCCTCAATTTAGCACCTTCACGCCCTGATGACCATGCCTCTCTGTCCATACACATTGACTGGCTTCCAGTTGCTGTGTGAAGCTCAGTGTTGTCCAAGGCTTGGACGCATCCATCTCGGAGGATGTGTTGCAGCCAGTCCTGCTCTTTTCCCGTGCCTGGCGTCACCGACAGCATTGAATCTGCGATTGTCAAACATTGTTAAGCCTGCTATTCCTTCCATGCCTATGTCTGCACGGCACAGCGGGCACTGGTTGGGCGCCAGGTCCTGCCGCAGGGGCGCTTGCTTAGGATCCAGATGATGGCTCGAGCTGTATCCACATGCCCGAGCTGTAGAGACAAAAACAAAGCATAACAAGACAAGCAACGTCCAACAACACCTTGTATGGTGTAACCAAACATCACTCACAAACAAGTGATTGAGTCGGAATGCACGGCATCCGGTCCTTGGCTGCTTCGGTCGCTGCGCTTCTGGCCTCGCACTCCTCCCTCCAGTGGGATGCCTAGGCGCGGGTCACCCAGACTGCGTCCTGGGCCCCGAATCGCCGAAGCAGGTGGAGCCGCTCAAGCTACTGCTACTGCAGATGCTACAGTTACTACCACTAGCAATCGTGGCAGTAGTAGCTGTAGCAGGAGCAGTAGCAGAGCCGTAGCAGAGCCATAGCAGAGCCGTAGCACAGCAGCAGCAATAGCACTTGCAGCAGCAGCAACAGCAGCAGCAGTACCCGTGGCAGTAGCCAGCAGCAGTAGCGGAAGCAGTAGCAGTAGCAGAGGCAGTAACTACTACTACTACTACTTCTTCTTCTTCTGCTACTACTTGCCACGCCCCCTATTAACGCCCTGCCGTCTGAAACCATCGTGTCCATCTTCATCACAAGCACTAAAGCTGGCAAAGTCGACAAATGGATGTTTGAGACAACCCACCCCAAAAATTTCCCCCCACCCCTACCCACCACCACAGGTTTGCAAAGTCGACAAGTGGATTTTGAGACAACAAGAAGTGGTAGGACATTAGACGGACACTACGACAAGTACTGCAAAATGCATCATAGCGAGTAAAATGTATCACGATGACTACTACTACTACTCCTCCTCCTCCTCCTCCTCCTCCTGCTGCTGCTGCTGCTGCTGCCGCTGCTGCTGCTGCCGCTGCTGCTGCTGCTGCGACAACGACGACAACAACAACGACGACAACAAGGCACACCCGTACACTGCGTACCCATTACCCCAACAACAAGAAGTAGTAGTAGTAGCAGCAGCAGCAGCAGTAGTTGTAGTACTACTACTACTACTACTACTACTCCTCCTCTGGCCACTCATCCTCACCATCATAAGAGAAGAGTGATGACAATTCTGGAGGCGCTGCAATGCGACGTCATAATTACACAAACAAATCAGGCTCGTGTTGCAGAGACCTCGCACCGAAACATCACGGAAATCATCGCAGGAACACATTCGTGTTCCGAACCTCCACATACTGAGACCACAGCTAACTGCGCGATCTCTATGACCTGCTCACCTGCCCAAGCATGTCGTGCCAGACTGGCTGCCACACGCATGTCGTGCCAGTCGCCAACCGGAGCACAATTCTCCCCAGCTCGCCATTTAGATGCTGCAAAGCTGCAGAACTGGCATTGCGTCAGCATCGGACACCTGAAAACGCCGAACTTGAGCTGCGATCTTTTCATGACGAGGTGGCATGAACTCTGTTGGTGTATACTCTAGTTGGACAGTGCACCTGCAGCGGAAAGAAACTGCACTTGGCGTTTGCGCAGGGAAGACACTCGAGCTTTGACTTTCGGTCGTAGTCATGAAAAGCTCTCACCAGGTTGGTTTGAAATTCCTTTGCTTCCGAGCGCAGTACTCGCGCCAGTAGTGGACATCCATTGCCTCTTGCGTGCCCTGCGGAAGCATCTGCACAAACGATACCTGTCACTGTCACAGTGGCTGACACACTGCCCTGACAGCCTCCGAATTGACAGCGCCGCAGAACTGGCACTTGGTCACATCCTGCCGACAGCCGGAAGTAGCAAGGAACCTTAGCCGCCTTAGCCCTCCGGAGCCAACAGCAACCAGGAGCCCTTTTTTCCTCTCTGAAGCAGTAGCTGCGCTGCTTCTGATTCAGACATGTTCAGACCCTGTAGGGCTTACTGGCGTGGTCCTCGGTCTCGACCGCGGCGTCCTAGCGCAAAGGAAGCCGAAGACGAGGGGTCACAAGCCGAGAGGCGCCCCGCCCCCCCTCACCGCCCCGCCTCGGGAATGGCCCCAGGCCTGGAGCCCTGGCCTCTCATGGAAAAAATCTCTGCACTTTTGCAAAGGACTCGCATGCTGCAAGGCAGATGGCTCCTTTTCACTCGCAGTCTCAGAGCTCACTGCGTCCGAAGGGACGGGCGGCTTTCTCGTCCAGCCAGGACAGAAAAGAGTCCTGAAGTGTGGGAGTGTAGAGCTGGCATTCCAGAAGCCATCAAACGAAGAGGTTCGAACTGCCTAGGGACTAATCGCGGATTAAGTTCAAACGTGATCGTCACTTAAGCCCGTTCCCCAGAGAATCTGCCAGAGTTTGTGTCATGATAGGTTTCTGGCTGCTGCATAGCTGAGACGGAGGAATCGTGGCGACAAGTGCACACATCGTGGTTTGATACATGCGCTAGTGTTGTTGAGAAGCATCCGAGGTTCATGCTGCCAAAGACGAGTTCAAACACTTCTGCAGGTGGTTGATTGCAAGCTAGTGGCAACATCCCTGTCACCGTCGTAGTCTATCGGCTGCTCCTGCCACTTTGTTTGCATGCATGGAGCAAGCAACCTCAAGACACATCTCAATTCCGTGGCGGTGGCTAGCAGCATTGCATGCAGATGGTGCGTGATTGAGGTCCTTATTGTCGGCGCGCCAAAACTTTATGGTTGGGAAACCTTCAATGTCAACGCCGTCGACGTCGTTCGATGTCGCATCAATTTTTGCAATCCTCAAAGGATTGCAGGAGACGTCCCACATCTTCTCACCGCGACTTGCAACGCCAACTCTAGCCAAGCAGGCCCAGCATGTCCCCGATCCAGACACGCAATTGGAGAGGTTCCGTAAGTATGCCGGCCGGGGTTCATTATGGTCGGCACGCTCTCCAGCTTCTTCGCCTTTGTTCGAGGCAGGACAGCCAATGCCGAGCAAGCTGTGGCGGTCTCTGGAGTCTAACATCTAAGGAAGTATGCTTGGAAGTATGAAGGAGGCAATCGCGAACTAACCGTCAAAATCTCGGAACTCGACGAATTTTGACCAGAGAAACATGGAGACAGCATGAAGGACAATTGCTCGTGGTTCACAGTTGGAGAATCCAGTCGGGCCTTAGAGAGATGTCCATATGCAGTTAGTCCACGCAAACCGTATGCATGTATCGGCCATGGTCTTGACCTTGCCACCCTCCCCATGCCCAGAACCACTCAACAAAGCAAACCCTCCCTCGTGCAAACACCCTGCTTCCAATATCTATATCAATCTATGTCCCATCGAAACAGACTTGCTCCGCCAATGCGAGAGCACGAGGCAGAAGTCACCCTATCGGCTCTCTTCCTCCCCGGAATATGCCATCAATACTACAGCAGCTCCAGTCGCCACAGCGTTGTATACTGGTTCCAGCTTCTTGCAGTGGCCACACCAGGGGGCATAGAACTCTACCAGAACATCCTGCATGGCAGGGTATTCAAATCTCTCCAGCAATGCCAAGGCAAAGGGACATGGAGCTTTTACTTCGACTCGCACACTCGCACAGGGCAGGCGCGGACTCCAGGCGACAAGTCCGACTACGAGCAACTAACGGCTGAGAAGCTTTGGCTTGAAAACATTTGGCTCAAACTGCCTCAACATCACGAAAGAGGATGCAGATGCTCGTGCTAAACGGGCCCGGGCCTTCGCAGGATCTTTCACTATGGATTCGAAGGTGGAACCGACGAGTGTGTAGACCTGCAGGCTGCCGCACCACTCAGAAAGATTTAGAAAGTCTGGGTTGCTTGCGGCGCTTGTCCATCACAACAGATCTGTTTCGGCTACAGATTCATCGATCGCGCAAAATTAAAGTGCTCCAAGCCGATAGACGGCAGATAGACTCATCACGCTGCATTTGGTGTAGGGTTTGCTTTTGTTGCGAAGCTTATCCGAGCGGCTGGGCCCTTCTGGCTGCTTGGCACCGGCTCCTTAGGGTCTGCGGAGTTGGAAGCGCCGGTTCCGAGAACCAGCACCCTGAACGGATGCACCCGAAGCAGAAGGCTGAAGCTAGTGCGGCCTCGCGTCTGATTGCAAGTACTTCTTCAATCGGCCAGCTTCGAAGTCGGCCACGAAGGACATCAGCGAGGCCTGCAAATGACATTACACGTCTGTCTGAAAGAGGACTAGACCGTATCTGCGAGTAGCAGGGCATGAAACTGTCAAAATTGCCTCCGAAACGGTATCCTCCAGCCTGTACCTGCCGGTGAATCTAGCTTCATAGAAAACGCTTCGAAATTCCGTGAGCTTCGCCTGAGAGCAGCCTGTCTAAACCAGCACCAACTGCCAAATACTGGGTCACTTCGACATTGTGCCCTGGGGTTCGGTGACAAGCCGTGCCGTCGGGAGCTCCTGGCAGCAAGGCGTCACGGATTGGTAAAGAGTGCGAGGTGGTCATTTCCTACATGTGTTGCTGTTCCTGCTGTGCCTGGAGCCTGATGGTGTTGCTGTTCCTGCTGTACCTGGAGCCTGATGGGGTTGCGCCAATGCGGGGTTACTCGCCAGTGTATCCCTCCTCTGCTTCGACACTGACATAGTCCATCAGCCGCTGATCCATCGGCTCGCCTTCGTCGGGTAGGCTCGGCCAAGCGACGACACACCGAAACTGTGACTTCGACCGTCCGGTTTCTGCGCAAACACATGTGATAGGACGTGAGGGAAAGCTTTGCAAAACCGTTTAGTTAAGAAGATGTTGCGCAAGTGTGGTTGGTGGGGGTGTGCCTAAGCGCTTATGTGGGGGGGTGACATTTGTGTCGTCGTTACAGCGCTTGCAATCACAAGCAGCAGTGACATGTTACCGGAACTTTTTTCAGACCCGACGTTTTGCATGGCCTGCTCAAGATGGGGAAGCTGGCTCACAGGTGCTTCATGACACATGGGACATATAGGTCTTTTCGTGAAGTTTGCCCTAGCAGGGGTTCCCAGCGTGCCCAATAAGAGCTTCATGACAGTTTCATTCGGCCTGAATAACAGAAAAAGGGAGGGCTCTATAGGGAGGGGCTCAACAGGGGTTCCGGGCGTGCTTACGGGCTGTGACCACAGACTCAGCAGGGCGTAGTGACGTAGTGAGGAGTCTAAGGAGGCCGTGCCTGAGAGTTCAAGCGCATAAACTGATTCGCGAAGGCCACGGGTGCAATTCCCCAATTGTTCTTTCATGCGCCGTACACGTTTCAATTCTGATTATTATTGGCTAATGTTGGAGCATGTTGGAGCCCTTTCAGAATTTGGGTGAAGAAATCCAGGGTACTCTCAAAACCCGGAACTGCTTTACTTTGAGAACAATGCTCTGGCTCTTCAAGAGTGGGTTCTCGAGGGTACTCTCACCTAAACAGACCTGCGTCGTTTGCGGCGCTGTCCCTACAGCCCTACAAAGCCCACCCAGTCCACAGGCATGAAACAACCGAATAGCCATCATGTACCCCGACCGTTCGTGCCAAGAAGCTAGAGCCGGCGACGGACAGTAGCAGTCTGCGCTGTAAACCTTGAGCGGCTGTGGCGCATGCGTGAACCATGCATGGACTGTGACGGCCTCAACTCCAATGATAGGAGACGCCGTGAGCCGAGGCACGCGGAGCCACGGCTTGAAGAGCCTTTTCAGCAGCTTTGCCTAGCCAGCCCGAACTAGTCGGCTCTGTGCAACAGCGTGCAGAGGCACCTTTGTCGTCCTTATCCCGGAACAAGAACAGGATCGGTCGTCCGTCCCCGAAAAGATCTGCGGCGGTTTCCTCAGAGGTGATAGTGGTTGTCATGTTCGAGCTGGGTGAGGGGCTGTGCTGTTCCAGCCCTCGAGATGGGCTGTGCAATGGGCCGGGGATGTAATTTGCTACCAACTGCAAAACTCGTGACGCCGTTGAAATCTGCGATCATGGGCTGCCGGAATTTCTTGACGAAGGCCTCGATTTCCTGGAAATAAAGGCATGGCATGAGAACATGCGCCGTGACACTTCTGGACGATTTCGACGACGGTTTCAGGCAGCCGGTCACTTCAAATGAAATATCATGGCATCTACTGAAATGTAGTGCAATATGTGCAATCACTTGAGCATCTTGAGCCCAGACTCCTCGGCATTGCTCAAGTCGCCGGCGAAAGTCGCGGACTGTTCGTCGTGAGGGAACAACATCTTAATTGTCGGCATGTTGGCCTGAGAGCAAAGGTCTCATGGGATCGTTGCGTTGGGGCTGTGCTGGAAGGCAAGCTGCAGGGATTGCGCCGGCAGGGTGTTGCGATGCAGACGGCTGCTCTCTGCTAGGATTCATTGATCTGCTCTGAGTGCCTGCTCTGCTTTGCTAGCTCAACAACCTTGGCTAGCAATTCCTGGTCCCACCTGGTACTTGGCGGCCACGGCGGGAACAGTGCTGTAAGCAAACATCACGTCCTCCGCCAGACGAAAACGGTGTGAGCACATGGTTTGCAGTTGTGGGCAAAAGAGCATGTGCTACCAAGACAGACGCGCGACAGCCGTCACGGAACACTCATCACTCTTGCCACCAGCTGGAGGGCTCACTCGTGCCAGAATGCCGACCCCCTTTGGAGGGCAGCACATCGCGGCACATTCTTTGGCGAGTGGCCGTGGACCGCTTGGCGCCAACTGGGATTCCGATGGTAACGACAACGAAAAATGGCCCTGAAGTTGCTGTTTTGGCTAAGCCTTCGTTTCAGACCAGGCCATCAAGTACAGTATGTGGACAAGGCACAGGACAGTTGCAGGAATTTCCTTGCAACTGATCCTGCTGCTCAGTTATGTGGCTATCTAGCCACTGGTCAGCCGTGCAAACCGGTTCACCGGTTCTGCCAGTCGGAAAACCTTCATGTGATCGCCACGGCGGCCACCCACAGTCTTTCCACTGTCCTTTCTCCTAGGCAAGGAAGGCCAAGACATCGCAGCGATGACTGGCCACGTGACGGAGCATATGATATGCAAAGATTCCTGATGAAGCCACTTTCCTTGAAAGTTTTTGTCAACCTGAACAGTGTGGAGGCATCCATGCGCCAACGCACGCACAAGACATCTCTGTGATTTTCCGGCCTGGCAAGCTTCAGGTCCAAGTGCTTGAGCTCGGCTCGCATTGCAACTTGGTCTATGGCTCTTGCCGGCCCTCTGCAGCGCAGAATGCCGTTGATGAACTCCTCACAGTGTAACAGTCCGTCGCGGAGATGAACGAGACACAGGTGCTACCCAGTACAGACTGTGTGGCTGTGGCCATGGGAGCTCACTGGTGCACACTGCAGTCACGTGGCATCGAGAGTGACTTCTCCATCCTGAGCTTCGCTTGGATGCCCCGACAAAATCATGAATTGTGCTGGCCTCAAGAACCCACTATACAAAAATCAACATCATTTTCAAGAACGGCCAGCATCTCCATTGTTCAGAATGTGGAACAAAGCTGTGCCTGCCATACATGCAAGATCCAGCTCCGATTCGAGTTTGGACGAGTGCGCGTTGGAGACTGAAGCTTGGGCGCTGTGAAATTTGGATGAGTCCCTGCCTTCATGCACGTCCAAGTCCAGCGTCTGAAAATAAACCGCGACCTTCGGGTCCTGCAGTATCTCGTTCAGTCGGGCCTCCGTAATCATGCCCTGGCCAGAATCGTCGATTTGCTGAAAAACGCTTTCCAGCTTCTCCACGTATTCTGCCTGCACGACTCTGCGAAACAGTTGCGAGCCAAGCTTTGTGGATGCTGTCGCAAAAGCACACATCCTCACACCCCCCTACCTTTGCCAGCATGTTTGGCAGTACAATCAAGCTACATCAGCAAAACACACGCACACACACACACACACCAATCCTTATAAAACCAGGAGTTTGAGCACATGCGCCACGAGCTTACTTGGCGCATTCTGTTTACCAGCAGTTTGCGAATCCGCAAGAATAACACGCAGGAAATGTCTTCATTGACCGCGACAGTATTCCGCTGTTGCTAGAAACTTGGGGCTTCGTGTCCGGAACAAACAGAAACCTCACATCCTATGAGTCGCCGGATACACACACACACACTCACTCTCGCACAAACACACATTTGTGCAATCCTACCTCCGATTGACTTGTTTCTCAAAGCCAGTCCTAATTTCAAAGGTGAAGACAAACAGCCACTAGGCAGCACATTCGGGTTCCAGGCTTAGCCCCATGCCATAACAATGCAGAAACTTGCAGACGACACTTGCCGAATGATTCGCAAAGCGAAACAGAATGAACCAGCCTAGCAGTTAATCGCTCAGGATCATGGCCGTGCTATGCTGTGCTGTATCAAGCACACATCTCGCGGGTGAACCGATCAGGGTTCAGCAACAGGTAGCCGATCAGGGCTGATGCATATAGAACCGATCAGAATTAAGAACCGTTCGGGGTCCAATGCAGTAGGCAATCCTACCGTAGACGGCACACTGAACGAAAAAATCGTCTAGATACACACTTCTGCAACCCTCCCTCTGATCGACTTGTTTCTGAAAACCACTCCTAATTTCAGAGGTGAAGACAGACAACCACTAGGCAGTACATTGGGGCTCTTGGCTTAGCCCCACGCCATAACAATGCAGGAAGCACTTGCAGACGACATTTGCCGAAAGATTCGCGGGTACGCTGAGTTGATCAGACCCAGTATCAGCCGTGGCATAGCCCTCTTCGTTGGGCAACCAGCTCTGCTCATGCCCCCCCGCTAAACTGAAAGACGCTCAAAAATCCTTTAAAGTCCTATCCCTTAGTAACAGGGTTGCAATGGTTGCACACACACAGAGACAGAGACGGAGACAGAGACAGACACACCTCGTGCACTGCTCGTTTGTGTAAAACTCTTCGTCCGGCAATCCTCTCGTGCTCTTTCTTTCGGTTGGCCTGAGAAATGTGAGCTACCTCACTTTTTCTTGAGGCCGCTATGTCCGCCGTCTGGCCCCGCAACACCCCCAACAAGCTGGCGAGGCACCCATCAGTCACCCATCTGCATCTTCCTTCACATTGTCGAATCCCTGACTGAAGCTGAAGCCTGCCTGGTTGTACTGGGTACACGACAAAAGCTCAGCAACTTACACTTTGCACCTCGCTCATCGGCTTGCCGGGCGACGTGCGAATCTTCGTTCCTTCAACCGAGACCGAGTATGGGCAAGCCGAGAACGAGGTGAATGGTTGGTTATTTTGCTGGAACATCGTACTTGTTGGCGGAAATCGCAGGCGCTCGCCACCACGTCACACCACACCCAGCTTCGACGCACAACAAGACAACACATTCTATCGGAATGTCCAACGTGCACTTGCTCTCGCTGGCTGGCTGGTCTGGCTGGTCTGGCTGGCTGGCTGGCAGAACCCCTTGGCGTGCGTGCCCTTGCCCCCTCAGGTCGGCGCTACCGGTTAAAGCAGCTGATTCCAGCAAGTACTCACACCAAGTAGTCGACCCCGAGCTGCACTGGTGAAGATTCCGTGCTGGAACAACGCGGCCAATCTCTGCTTGGTTCGTTGGGCTTCAGGGTCTGGCACAACCTGGACTTGATAGCGACTGGTGCCCCATCCACCCAGAAACATGAATTCAGCCAGAGCCAAAGTGTTGCCCGCCCCCGTCAGTTGCGGTTGCGAAGAGTGTTTGCTGCACTCTCAACCAAGGCTTGGAATCCTATGGAAGAACACGCACCAGAAAGAAAGTTTGCCTTCATCTCGCTCTCTCTCTCTTTGCTTTGCTCGGGGTAGCCTCTGTGTCTCTCTCTCTCTCTCTCTCTCGCACTGCCAGCCCCGTCATCAACCCGGACTGTTGCTGCCTTCTTGCGGAGCGCCTCTGCCACCAAATGCTCGGCATCGTTGTGGGCAGCATCAAGGGTATCCTCGGACTAGAAGGCCGCCGCTGTTTCAGAAGCCCCTTCGCCCACAATCCCCGATGCTGCTTCTTCCAAGAGACCTTCAAAAACACCGCGGTAATGACGCCTCAGCTGATGCTGATCACGCTGGTGACCATGACAATACTACTAATGAGGAGGACGACCATCATCATCATCATGACGACGATGACGACGCGTCGTGGTCGTGGTCGTGGTCGTGGCCGTGGCCGTGGCCGTGGCCGTGGCCGTGGCCGTGGCCGTGGCCGTGGCCGTGGCCGTGGTGGTGGTGGTGGTGGTGGTGGTGGCGGCGGCGGTGGTGGTGGTGGTCGTGGTGGTGGTGGTGGTGGTGGTGGTGGTGGAGTTGATGCTGGCAGTTAGTTAGCAGTAACAGGCAACAGCCAATAAAACCGAAATCTTTGAGCCAAGCACTCCGTAAAGCA